CCAGATCACACTGGAACCACCAGCTGCACAACAGCACTGCCCAGTAGAGCACTGTGTTTTCTTCTAAGCCTTGCCTGAAACTAGAATCAGGAAGCATTTAGATCAGTTTAATTCTGTGGATATTTTTTGAGGTTTTAGTAGTGGAATACATTCTGTGGATTCTTCAGGTGTGTTTCAATGTCTAATATATGTGACAGAGTGATACATGTCTTAGTTTTGAAGCTCTCAATTGTTGCCTGTCTCCACTGAACTCCTCATAAGCAGCTGAGATGACTGTTTTAATGCATCTCAGCTGCTCCTCCTTCTGACTCAGGCTGCTGTGGTTCCTCCCTGCAAGCAGGTGAGCAAACGACCTGCAAGGAAGAGAACAGAGCAGTCTGGACACTCCTCAACACAGCAGAACAGAGGCGAGTCAGTGGACTAGAGGAGCACATGTCAGTATTGGCGAAAAGGAGGAAAACTAAGACACATGATCTAAACAACAGGTTCAATTTACATCTTTGTTTTCCACTGGAAGTTATAATTTTCACAGTCAGGAGGACTTGTGTGACCTCGCAAGTTTATTTATGTTTTTGAGTCTGCCTCGGTCTCTTTAAGTTGCTTCTTCCTGCCCTGGGCTCCAGTACCTGAGCCGCCGAGTCTGGGGCATCGTGTCCCAGCTGTGTCCCTCCCTCAGGATGTAGTTGGAGAAGGACAGTAGGCCAGAGAGACACTGCAGGGCAGCGTTCATGTAGCAGCTGTTTCCCAGGCTGGGGACCCTGTGGACAGAAGGACAGGCTGGAGTCTGAGCTGCACTAAGGGGAACTGGAGCTGCCCTGTTCCTTCACTCCCTGCTGCAGCAGACACTGCAAAGCACTCTGGGCACTTCCTGTCATGTGTTCCTCATATTATTAAAGTATGATTCTCACATTTTGAAATATTGTCGGTTTTGAATAGTGGATATTGACATTATGACATTATGATATACAGCAGTTTACCATGGCCACTAAACATCGTAAGTCTGAGAAATCTTGCACTGTATGTAGGCCACTTCTTTAATATTCTAATACATTTCAACATTAACCATACAAATACCCAGCGTTAACAAGAAGTGATACTTCAAACAGAATGAACAACAATTATTTATGAGTAGGAAACACATGGCATATATCTGAAACTCTTATAAGTGCAGTCCTTGAACCAGTATATTTCAGTTACTACAGTATATTTCCGTTACTACAATAAAAAGAAATCCACAGTTTTTCCAGTTTCATATAGCAATGTAACAGAAAAGTAGATTTCAAACCCACTGTTATTCAATTTTAGTCTCCATACGAGATTAAAACGTATCATTTGTGTGTTCTGACTCATAAAAAGAAGTATATAATAATTATATCAAAGTCGAAAAACTGAAAACATACCTTTCGAAAGCACCAAGAAAAACATCCACAACACGGCATTGTGTTCTTGCAGTTATTGAGGTTTGATGCTTTATCGGGCAGAAATAACTAGCGGGTAGGTATTATGACATCATGAGGGTGATGTCAACATTGATTGCTGTGAGCAAACCTGGAGTCGTCCGACATTTAAAAACAATATTGTGTAGTGATCTGAAAGTAATGCATATTTAGAAACACTGACAGCAAACGTCGAGTGTTTCAAGGCTATTAGGACATTTTCACATACACCCCTAGTCTGCAGGTTGCCTCTTGCATTACATTATGATATACAGCAGTTTACCATGGCCACTAAACATTGTAAGTCTGACAAATCTTGCACTGTATGTAGGCCACTTCTTTAATATTCTAATACATCTCAATATAAACAATAAAAATACACAGCATTAATAACAAGTATTATTTCAAACAGCATGAACACTATTTATCAGTAGGAAT